TAAAACTCAATTTTTATTCTATATAAAAAAATAACCCAATATTTTTCATTCTGTTCGATGATATTTTATCATCTTTCTGGTTATTTAATGATTCCGCTCTTTTAGAACTTCCGGTTTTTATCAGCAAAAACTCAGCTAAGTGGGATTTGAGGTCATTGTTATTGCTGGAATTTTTACCATTTAAGAATTTTTGCAAACTTCGAATTAAATGATAATCTAATGGTGCGAAATCGAGGCTATATGGGGGATGTCACATTACTTCCCAATCGAGGTTTAGTAATTTCGTACGCGCTGCTAAAAGATGTATTATACAGTCTCGTCCTCTTTGGAAGCATAAACAAACAAGCTGTAGATGACTGTTGAGGAATTATTCCCGGATCTTTAATAACAATAGATTCAGAAGATGGGTGCAAAGAACCCTTTTTTCACTCAATATATTTCCACGAATATCCGCACTTGGGCTTACACAAAGCCAATACTTCTGGCTTAACTCAAAACAGAGAACGATGAACTTAAAATATAATGTAGTAAATCTTGTCTAACCGCTCACAGGAGAAATTAACGACCAGGAAGGCTCTGATTAGAAGTCGGAGAAAAACAAGCCTAATGGCTAGAAGCACACAACGCCACAGCAATCTAATCTCTAGGCATAGCCTTACACGTCGCAATAAGAATGTGGCTTTTCAAGCAAGCATAAAACACGCTCTAAAACTACCTTCCGAAACCTTCCTTTAAATACCGCTTCTTTCTCCCTCATTTGAATACTTGCGCGCTAGCTTATAAACATTCTTGCAGGAAAGCGTGGGTGGAACGAGACTGAAAGGAAAGTTGCTTTAATGAAAAATTGACTATTAGTAAAATTAAATAAATTTCCGCAGTAAGAGGCCTCTCATTGTCGTGGTGGAGCGCAATTCCTGTGCGATTTGCAAATTTTGACCTTTTCTCTTTGATTGCATCCTCCAGTTTCATATGTTTTTCGCGATTATCTGAGTTGATCGGTTGGTTACTTAGATCAAAATGCGCGTTACTTTTGTAATCCCACCAAACTGATAGCGTGATTTTTCTCTGATGCAATTTAGTTTCGATATGATTTATCCTGACTCATCATGCTTGGACCATGATTGTTTTATTACTGTTACTGTAGATCATACATTTTTTATCACCAGTCATCATTCGTTTCAAAGAAGGTCGACTGCATTACGTTTAATTGCGCATCCAAATATTGGTTCATTGTGTTAAGTGAATTTCTTTCAATTGATGCGGAACCTTAATATCGAGTTTCTTAACGAGTCCAAGACACCTTAAAGTGATTTTCAATTATTGTACACGATACATTTAACCATTTTGAAATCTCTCACACAGTTACGAAGTTTCAATGCAATTATGGTTTTAACTTCGTCTTCATCAACTTTAAAGTTTGGTATCAACTTTGGACGTTTGTCATCTTCAAGTGAAACATCTCCGGAATGAAATTTTTTAAACCAATTCTGACACATGCGTTCTTTTAAGGGATACAAACCATAAACTTCACAGATTTTTTTTTGTGAACTTCAGCTGCATTATTCCCTTTATAAAAATAAAATATAATGATTTTTTTTACACTTCATGTTGAAATTGACCTAAACTAACAGTTTGTAAACAGAAATAGAAGAAATTTGTTTCTGTAGTAACCTAAAATTGTCAACTGCCAAATCTCAAAAGAAAAAAAAATCATACGATTGACAGAATTATAAAAAAGTCATAAAGCTATCAATTTGGGCAAATCGAAATTTCTTTCTTGCTAACCCAAAACATGTCTTCAGATTAAGTTGAATGGTGAATTATGAGTTAAGTCTGGCTAAATGATGGCTCCCCTGTCTCCTAAGCAACCGCATATCAAACACGAGCTTCCGAAGCTAAAGCCGACAAATTCAATGAGCATGCAATCACAACAGAGTAACGGTGAGCAAAAATTGCTGAAAACTCTCTCATTTTAGCACAAGAACTCTGTTTTTGCTTATTAACTCATTTACATTCAGTTTGAAGCTCATGAAAATAAAAGTGAATATAAAGGCAAGCCTAATAAGACAACTGCGTTCATTAGCAAAATACTTCATACATACAGCATAAAGCATATAGCATTTTTATACGTATAGCATAAAACAAGGAGCATTTTGCGTATAGCAGTTTTTTATGAAATATGATATACCTTTTGATTTTTATATATATATAAGTTAAATATAAGTTATAAATTGTGCATGTTTATCATTTACATTGGTATATAATATAAGGAAAATAATTAAAAATTACGAAATATACCAACTAAATCCTTAGATTAAGTGCCCTTTAACATACAACTGGTACAATGTTTCCGGTTAAAGCCTGTTTGGTTGGTTAGTTATTAGAATATGACAAAGAACATGAGGGTCCATGTTCGTGATATTCAGACCCATTAATTAAGTACTGTCAACGATCCAGAATGTTGACGTCAGCGCCTATTCAACTAATGGATGAAATCCTGGAATTCATGGACAAGAATGAATAGCATGGTATGCGAGCTATGCCAATTACCTTCTCTAACTGTAAGAAACATTATTCTTCTATATATTCTTTCGCATGAATAAAAAGGCAAAAATCGATTTGATCAAGACAAGGGAAATATGAAGATGGTGCAGAATCGTTGCTTTTGCTTCACAAGTAAAACCAGAATACCACAAAACAGAATGATGGACCGGATCGTCTTCATTACGAAAGAGCTCTTTCTTACTGATTTTGCTATTTCATCAGTTGCCTCGTAATAACTTTCAGAGAGAATCTGTTGCATTTCCAGAATGATATTTTTACTCGTACAGGTCGATATCGGATTTCCTAAAGAATGCCATTTTTATTAGATTTCTTGTTGTTAGGGAACAAATTTCATTACATCCCAAACAATTCACAGTAACATCTGAATATATCTTATAGATCATTCCTAGATTTTCGCTCATAATGTAGCCTAAATGTTTTATTCTCTTTTGTGACTTCGACATGGCTAATTCGGAGTTTTTAAGTCATCAGAGAACCGGAAAATTATTGCATTGCTGCAATAAATTGTTATGAATCAATCATGCACTGTTTCGAAGTTACCATACGATAACGCTGGTTGATAACGCTACCATCTCGAAAGTTCTGCTCAATACAGCAAAGTGGCGATGATTCTTAGAACTAATTCGGAATGAAGTATGCAGCTACAGGCGTCATAATCAGGAAAATTATAAAATGCATTCTTCTACTTTATGCTATTCGAGTTTGGCTGTCACTCACTCAATCGAATTTCCGTTTTAGCATTACTGGTGTCTTACTTTTTCGAAACCGAAACCTAAAAGCCAATTTTCTCGAAACCGAATACTGAAAGGTTTTCAGAGATCTTATATAATAAATATTTTAATTTAAGAAAAAATTTCCAATTTGCGTTTAATGAAACATAAATTCAATAAACAACACAAATTTTAAAAATTTCTTAAATGTATCAAGAAGATGAAAATTTAGCAAATGAAGTGGGAAATTGAAATCTTAAAATTGAGACTCATCGTCTCAGTACCTTTTGACAAAAAGCCTTTGAGTAATAGTTCAGATTCTTTAAATTTATCCACAACTTTTGAAATGAAAGCAACAGTAAAAGGTGAAGGAATTTTTCATGAATTAACATAAATAAATAGAAAAGGTATAACGTTAACTTCTGTTTGGGAAATAAACATTTTCTCTGTCACAGTCACCGAGAAATGAATCCTAGTAATGCAGGTCGATTGAAATTGTAAAAATTGCGTATTTTTTTAAATGAAGATGTCTGCTGCTGCAAAAATGTCAGTTAAAACCCTTAATAGCATTTAGGTTAGGGTTTGAAATATTCGAATGCCAAAAATAACATGACGATTTGAATTTTCAAGTCTCGAATCTTTCGCAATACTTCTAAGATTCAGAGATTCGATCATGGATCAGCAGGTCATTTTAGATTTTAAGAAGCTCTACACAAAGTTATTTTAAAGTTTGTTATAAGGGATTTCTCAGGCTTCTGAAAGCATCATTTTAATAACTTCCATTGCTTAACTCTAATCTACATAGCGTTGCAGCAAATAACTTGAAGAACCATGGATTCGCGCAGAAGAAATTATGGCAGGATTGTACAGCAGGTAGAAACTTTGAGGGCTTTATTACGGAAGACATTTTTGTAATCGATGTCATTATGTTTCTAAAGCAAGAATAGTCTTGAAGGTTAACTCAGACAACGAGGAGTAATTACTACAGGACCTCCACAAAAAGGTACTGAGCGCTGTAAGAACTTCAAAAACATAAGAAAAAGATGACTGTAGAAGGAAATGGAAATACAAATGGAAAACTAAGGTAATATTCCTACTCCTGCGCTAAACTGGCGGGAATTGAGGTGAGCTGTAAAGTTTCATGGCACAATAACTCCCTAACAGAATAATTTCAAGCCTCAGCATGAATCATTTTTGCATTACATCACGAATTAGTGTGGAATTAATAGGATTGATCCAATTTTCATTGCTTCCTTCGGAAAAAATAGGTTTACGTACCCTCCAGGTGAAGAATGCCTTCAGGAGTGAATTACTTTCGTGAACCGGGATTTTATTGCATAAGAACAAACAAAGAAAAATCGTCCAAGAAATTTTAGCCAATTTCTATGAAACAGATTCCTATTGGCAAGAAAAGTAAACGAGAAGCAGTTGAAGTGTTTTTAATCACTAATAATAAATAACGATTATGAAATACGGAATGATTTAGATCATTGAACATATTTTGATGCTTCTGTGAAACTTTGAAGAAGCAAACTCGCCAAGTGAAAATGTTTCTTAAATAATACTGACAGTAGATCTTGAAAATGAGTTTTTCACCCAACACTAGGTATAAAGAATTACTTAAGAACATAATTTTTTAAAATCATTAGTTTCAAGCTCTTGGTGCAAATATCAAAAATTATTTTATTTCAATGAATATTAAACTGCAGGTGTAGGACATGCTATATACATCCCAGAATGTTGTAACTGGAACAGAAATGACAGACAGAACTAGAAATTTTAATAGTGTAGGAGAAAATAATAAGAAAGTTAAATCTCTTTAAAATAGACATATTCAGAATAAAATGATTTCTGTTTTCGTAAACAAAAGTGTTCAAAATCAATAGCATGAAAATAAGAATAATCATAACATGTAAAATTGTGCTTTTAATTTGCATATTTATACAATATTTATATTAGTATCATTTCATATACAATTGACATCAAACAGAATAAAATGCAATACATGAAGTGAAATATAATATAAAATATATTACATTATTATAGGTTATGAGGTGATATTTATAATATTACATGTTTGAACTTGGTAGCCCCAAAATTATCATATTAAATGATTAATCGTATCTCTAAATAATTCATTAGCTTGGCATAAAAGTCGAAAACAAATTAAATGAAGGGACATTATATCTTACGATGGATTTTCAAATTTCTTTCTTTTCATATAATAAGCGTTGAATTGCTTTAATGGAAACAGATAGCTTAGTTACTGCTTGATGAAAAGTTATTTACATTATACATGGATTCAATAGCATCTTTAAAATAATTTCTCCATTCCGACCTTTTGTTTTTCAAAGTTGGAGTAATCAAACCAGACTCGGGCGTAAAAGCATCTGGATGCAAATAAATGTCTTTTACCTGCATTAGAAAAATAGTTTATGTTAAATACTTATCAAATTTTCATCAACAACAAAATTAACATATGACAAATTAAAGACATTGGGTTAAAATTAAAAAAAAATAAACATTAGAAAGTAATTTTTCGAAAAGTTTCCAGAATTATCACTCGCAAAAATTAATTAGAAAACCGAGAATGGGTTTTGTAACATCACATGGAATTATCCATTACTGCAATATGCTAGTGGTATAATCGTATCCTTTTCGTTTTAAACAACAGTTTCTTGTAATAATGCGTGCGTGCATTGACATTCTAATTCAGAAAGGCGACTACTAAACAGTACGTTACAAAATTTCTTAAAATATAAATTTAAACACTAGGATGCCCAGCACATCTTTTTCGTTTATCTGAAGAATATTTTCATTTAATGATTGAAGTTTTAATTTGAAAAAGTAGCAACTCTAAATGGGAGGGAATTATACTAAAATGCATTTTTATACATGTCTGTATGTATGTAAAATACATAAAATACATGTCTTTTTTATAGTATTAAAACCCAAGATGCATTTTATTTCGTTGGGACTGCTAAAACCTTTGACAAGGTTTACGGAGTGAAAAAGGTTCGCTTCTTTGAGCAAACTTATTACCCAACATCATGAGAAAACGAAGTGGTGGATATTTTTTTTAATGAAAATAGTTTCATTAATTAGATATGGCGTACAAAGCATGTAAGAAAATCATCTAGTGAAATATTTCTGGAAAATGTACATCGACCATGTTTTTCAGAAGAACAGGCAAAATCGTTTTAGCTTTTTCCTACCACGGTTTCAAGAAATTTATGAATGTTTTTCAGAAGCATCAAATCCGTAACCTTCAATGAAGAGGAAATTTATCTGATCTTCATCATTTCGAGAATCATTGGTTAATCCCGAAAAAAGGAAAGCCTGGAAGCAACAGACATACGTCAACAAATTTCCATTATGACCGAAGTTTTCTTTTTTGATAATGAAAGGAGACAAATGAGTGAAAAATCTGTTAAAACTCACGCTAATGGACAAAATCATTAGAATCAAAGTAGAATATATTTTACATAATGTTTGCTATTAAATTCTATAAACATGTGATTCATAAAATTATGCTTTTGTTTGATATAGCTATAAAAGTTTGCATACTATGTGCTATAATGTTTTATGAATCACTGTGAAGTTCCGCTTCCTGCTCGCTAAAGCACATCACCTCCCCCCCACCCATCCACGGACGCATCATGTGCTCATTAATGTGGCCTCATTTGGTTCACCTTTCAAAACTATAAAAGTTAAGTGGATGATTTACGTTAAGAACTCTTTAGTAATACCACACATCATTACATAACTCAAATCAAAGTATATGAAAATTGATAATACTTAATATGTTACTGTATACATAACTGTTATAAAATTAACATTTTTATGTTGTTAAGCATTCATGAGAAAGTGTTGGATGATCTACAAACTGTATTATCGTTTAATACTGCATTTTTCAAAATTCGGCATATTATATAATTGTTAACAAAAAGTAACTGATAAAGCAATATTTACAAATTTATAGAAAAATAACAATTATTTTCTCTTTTCTTATATATGTGTGTTCCTGAAAACTGTTTTTTTAAGTCTGTTAAAGGAAATTTCCAAAGATAAGATAAGCCTTATCCTGCTGGAAGACTGCTATTGAAAATGCAGGAAAATTTTCATTTAATTGTCCAGTGTCATTAGATTTTACTTCTGTAAGAAATTAATATTCATCATTTCAGGTTAGATTCTTTACAACATGTTTTCCGGGCACGTAAAAATCAAACTAGCTAAGATATACAGAAAAATAATAAAAACGTAACGCTAAAGACAAAAATTTCTAATTGCTTGTAAATTTCTTAATTTCTAAACTTCGAACAGCAGAATCATAATAAATGAACTATTCTAGTTAAGCATTGCTATATATGATTATTAATTGTTTATTTATAACTCCCAAGGGGATACCTTTCAAATAAGGCATTGCACGAAGAATAGTAAAATCATATTTTAAAATCTACAATACTAGAGGCTTTGAGTTGAAAGATGACGCTCCTGTTAAGAGAATATTTTTTAAATGTCAGATGAAAACGAGTTTATAACAATTAGTGCATTGTAACCTATAAATGCTGCTGTTAATAAAAAAATTTAACTTCTTTTTAAAGAAATATATTTGATAACTGCAGTTGTAAGAAATACGTCTGAGAATATTTTCTCTCGCAGAAAGGTTCGACAATAACACGTGAACTGAAGAGGGTTTCTCGCTGGTGAGTTATTGGTATGATATAGAAAGAAAAATTAATTTGTGAAACAAATATTAAATTTAGATTATTATCGATTTCCTATCTATGTGGGATATAGTCAGTGAATAACCAGCGTGGTCTGACGTCATTTGGGTAGCAGCGCAGCGCTCAGAGGACTGAAGAAGAGTCTCATTACTAAACCTTCTCTTCTTTGATATTTCTAAAAGCTTATGTCACAAGTAGAAAAACTGTGAAATCTTTAGGGGCAGATGGAGAAGCGTTTAGGAGCTGTAGGATCTACAAAGTATGAGTAAAGTGTAAGAAACATGACACGATAATTCGCTGAAATGTTCGTTTCACGTATTTATATGAACTAATAATATGGTAAGAAGGTGTAGATCCCAATATAAAGGAAGAAACAACTCCTTGAAATGAAACAATACACGTTGGGATGTTGAAAATGTGACTTGTTATTGACTTCAAACAAAATCTACTACAAGAGACAATCAATGTGCAATTCATCAAAAAATCTGTGAGACGGGCAGAAAGACAGTTCAAAATGGGCACATTTTACAAAAGCGATAGCCTCCCACTTTGCACACTCATCATTTATCAATGAATCGAAGCAGTAATCCATTGATGCAATCCACATTCCAAGTATCCGGTTTTAGAAAAAGTACACTTAGTTAAATTCTTGAAATAAGGAGCGCTGAACTGATCGAGTGAAAAGTACTGCAGGGCCATAAAACTATCGCCATACCAAATGTGCTCCTGTGTCTCGATAATGATTGTGTCCATTATGTATGGAACAAAAGATCTATAGTGTCTGAAGAAATGAATATCCAGAGTTTGTATATTTCATGTATACTGCGGAAAAAAAAAGGTAGGATTCTATATCTCCCGTTCTAATGGGCTGATTGACAAAATTCAAATTGCGTGCTTCATGTCTCGAAAGCACAATTTAGTATATATATTAAATTTACATATAGCATTATTCTAAACTAGGTATATTGACACAAAATCGGTATATTTCTAAAATGACATGCTAATTTTTTCCATATTTTCATTTTGAGACTCAAATTATGCCTAAATAAAAAATTTTGTAAAATGCGGTGCGCAATCTACGGAGAAATTCAAAAATTTATCTTGGTGTATTTTTTTTTTCAGTCTGCGCCAAGAATAATTTCCTTGGCGAACTTCTTAATTTAAAGCAACCTCATTTTCCTCTCCTGTTTTGCATTGCATACGAGCGGGAAAAAAGTCACCTTTCATACTTTCAAATAATTTTAACAATGTGCGTAAACCACATTTGGCGTTATTATCGCTCAAAAAAGATGCCAAGTTTCAAAACGCGTCAATATGTAATTTCATGTATAGCTTAGAAAAATTTTGAATAAAAAACTTTAATTTTTTGCAGATGTGCCTAGAAATACATGTACTTTAAGATGATGTTAAAACTTTTATAGGTTATAACACAAAACGTTTTTCCAAATATTTCCAACTATCGCCATTTGTATCTAATATATATCCTAAGTCGTGCTTTCAAGACATGAAAAATGCGAGTTGAATTTCGTCAATCGGCCCAGTAGAAAGGGAGATATAGAACTGTCTCACTTTTTTTTACACAGTGTACATCCTTTAGGTTACAGCTTTTTTGTAGGATTTTACCATCAGGTACTTCGGAAGCAAACACGGCATGAACATACAAGAAGAAACGTCATTACGGGAATATGTCCCTCTATATACACTTTAAGCATACATTGTGGGTCCTATAGCTGCTAAACGCATGTTCCTCTGCCTCTAAGACTCTACAGTTTTTCTACTTGTGACATATGCTTTCAGAAAATATATGGGTTTCCGAAAACCCGGTATCAAATTAGAGAAGATTTACTTGTCAGACATGGATTAAAGCTGATGGTGCTTTAGTTCCGGCTCAAAGCTGACGATTGCTCACCATGGAAAAGTAAAGTAGACGGCTCTCAAGGACCATGTAGACAGATATAAGGCCAAGACGGCGTTAACTTGCCTTCCATAATGTTGACGGAGGGATAATATTCCAGTTGAGCTATGAAAATCCACCCAGAGATTTGATGATAAATACAAAAACTGTGAAATGTTAATCATTACATGAACTATTCGTGAACTAAGATTAGTCGTGGGTTTATCGTTTCATTCAATGCCAATGATTAAGTATTTCGAGTGCCTGTGGTTCTAAACTATGTACCTGCACATTATAAAAATATCTAAGTAGTGAGCAGAAATAGGAAAATGGCGTAAGTAGTTAATTTGATGCAATCTAGAAGGAGCCACATAAGCTCGAGAGAGTTTAGAGGAAAAAATCATTAAGTCAAAAGTTTTGATTTGTTGTAATTTTTTTGGATTTTATAATTTTTTGTATTTTTTATTATTTTATTTATTTAAATTTTATATCTTTTTGACATAACTAAAACAACACAAAAGCAAAAATCGGAGGGGAAAGAATTTAGAGATTAAGAAGCTCATTGGCATATGGCGCTAAGTCAGAATGTAAACTGGTGTGGAAAACTTAAGCAACAATGTAACAATTTAGCAGATAGCCATGAAATTGCAGAAAAGGAGGTCTGGAGATCAGAACAATGAGCACGTAAGTCAGTAAAAACGTAATGCGTATGCAAATATCAGGAACGAAACGTCAGCGTACACAAAAGCGTACACAAAACGCGTGATGTCGGCGCGCGCAGCTAAACAGTAGAATAAAAGGAAGAACGGAGACGCATTTCAACATATTCGCTGCAAGTGCCAGTGAGTCAGTTCGTGAAATATGGCTAGAAGAAATCACCTGTACGACTTCAAACGTGGAAGAATGATTGGAAAGCTAGAGGAGGGGCATACTGTCACCAGTGTAGTTGCAGAGTTCGGAATCAACAAGAGTGTCGTTTCGCACGCTTGGAAAGCGTTCCAAACCACAGGTACAGCTGTTAGAAAGGTTGGTGCTGGCCGCCCGAGGACGACAACTGCAGGGGATGACCTAAATATCGTCCTGTAAGCGAAAAGAGTCCGACAGCAGTCAGCAAGCGCCATTGCTCAGCAACTCTGTACAGCAACGGGGCGACAAGTGTCGCGGTTTACTGTGGCCAGACGCCTTCACAAAGGGGGCCTATTCGCCCGCCGTCCTTAACGCTGCCTCCCGTTGAAAGTTGGCCACCGTTTACAGTGGTGCAGAGAGCATAAAGACACTGATCAATGGAGTCGTGTTCTCTTTACGGATGAGAGTCGGTTCAGTACCAGAAGCGATTCTCAACGCGTTTTGATTTAGAGAGAGCTCGGGACCCGGTTTTATTCCAGTAACATCAAGGAAAGACACCGTAACGGTGGTCCTGGAGTTCTTGTCTGGGGAGGCATTATGCTGAACGAGCGAACTGAGCTCTGCGTTTTCGACAGAGGGTCTGTAACCGGGGATCGCTATTGTGAGGAGGTACTCCTTCCCCATGTGCGTCTGTTCCGAAGTGCCATTGGCTCAGACTTAATTTTTATGGATGACAATGCACGGCCACATCGGACTCTTGCTGTTGAGGAGCTACTGGAAAGTGAAGATATCACTCGAATGGATTGGCCAACGTACTCCCCAGATTTAAATCCCAACGAGCATGTGTGGGATGCTTTGGGGAGACGCATTGCAGCACGCAACATCCTCCGCAGACCACGCAACAACTCAAACAGATGCTGATTGAGGAATGTACACTCCCACCTCAAGAAATGTTGCACCAGCTGGTTCCGAGTATGCGGAGACGGTGCGAAGCAACCATTGGAATGAGGGGAGGGCATATGCCATATTAAGGAACATCTGCTTGTTGTTCTTCCTCTTGGATAGACAATCATGAGTAACGATACTATGCGTTCAATAAAGCTTGTTTTTGTTTGATTCCACACCGTATGTATTGTATTCCTTTTTCAGCTCCGATGCTTTCGTCATCCTTTGCGTACATAATACTCTCCTTCATTTCTGCATTTCATGTCTCTCAGTTGATTTCTCGTGGAGTTATGGCAAAACAACCCTGCTGTTGCTTAAGGTTTGCACACCAATGTAGTAAAATTTGTAGAAATGCGAGGAAATACCCAAAGCAGAAATTAATTCTGCGGACATGATGGGATTTTTAAACGAACAGACTAGTAACAGTGCAAAGAAAGCCACCTTTCAATTGAACTTGAGTAAAAGATAGCAATTTGGCATAGTCAGTGAGGAATAGCAATTTTAAAAGGTAGAGACATTCCTCCTACACGCCGCGGGAGCTAGAAATGAAGAGGCGGAATCGTGTCTACGCCTTTTAGCAGGAGGATAGATGCCGTAAGTCTGGACCCATGGTGGCTCTTGGCCGTTTTTGTGAACTTTGAAATACCAGGATCGTAGACAGGAAGATGCTGAAGTGCTCGGTTATCAATCTGTTCAATTTTGGGGAACACATTTTGACTAGTTTTTTTTTTTTTTTTAATAACAACATCAACTGGTTTAATGTTAAGGTCCGAGTGAATCACATCAGTATGGACGTACAGGCTGCACTAAGGATTAGCCGTAAGGTTTTAATGTCAAACGCCTTTAATTTTTTCATGTGAGTCTTTGCAGCGGTACCCCAAATGGTAAATGCGTATATAAAAATTGGTCGAATAATTGAATTATAGAGAAGAGATTTGTTTCTGACAGACAGATGGCTCTTTCGGGCTAATAGGAGGTAAAGTTGGGATCTGACGGTCTTCGCTTTATTGAGAGTATTCTCAATGTGAAGATGCCGGTGTGATTTTGAATTAAGTGTCACTGCTAGATACTTATATGAGTTTGACCAGGGAAAATATTCATCAAAGAATTTTAAATTAATGAAAGGGTGCGGGAGTCGGGAGCACGTTAATATCATGGCAGCACATTTAGTGACATTAATTTTCATTTTCTAAGTGATGAACCAGTGCTCAAGGTTTGAGAGGTAACTCTGAATGTTGTGAAGCAGTTTATACAAATGTTTGTACTTGACGAGGATGACCGTGTCATCTGCATAAAGTGCTAGACTGACTCTGGGTGACTTTGGCATGTCATTAATGAAAAGGCTGAGCAATTAAAAGACTACCTTGTCGGACGCCACTTAGGATTGGGCGAGGCGTCGAAATGATAGAATTAACTCGTACTGCGAAAGAACGATTAGTGAGATACAAGTTAATTATATGAATAAGTTGAGCCAAAATATCAAGTCGCATGAGCTTGATTTATGATTCCCATATGCCATGTCCTATTAAATGCTTTGGGGATTTCAAGAAAAAAGTAGGCCCTTGTTCTTACCCGCTTTCTTGTTGCTATCAGTCGAAACTTAATTTCAAGTTTAACAAGAAACATATTCTAAGTCTTAATTAAATTTTATTTATTCATTTCATATTATGATGCAACTTTTTTCTGGAAATATAAATTTCTGAACAATAAAAGAAAAGATGAATGGGTTGCGACTGGAAATGCATTTGGATGACTTCCTTCTTTGACATTTTCCGAGTTATAATTCTATCACCTTGGGATATCTCGCTTATAAATAATTCATCCATCAATTCTTTTAGATGGCATAGCTTTCGCATATATTCAAATTAGGCTCAAGACGAAAGTAAGTAACAAAATAAATAAGAGAATAAACAAAACCTGCATTGTATAAACTTCAGATTATTACTTAAAATCTCTGGGGGAATTTTTCCATTATGTTTAATAACAAAGTACCTGTTGTTACCAACAGATAAATCTTTTCCGTTAAACATTTAAAATTCAACTCGTGGAAAACAATTTAAATTTCAAAACCTTCTGTGTTTCGATTTTCATCATAAAATAGTGTAAACAGGATAATATTAAAATACTAAAACACATATTCCCCTCTGAAAATGAAGATTACTGTTAGAGTAAAAATTGAATAAGAAATGTATGGAATGTGGACAGGAATTTTAGCTTTTCTAAAGGTTTTCGTTATTGCCATAAAACTTCATGTTTGATACAAATGAGACTGTATACAAGAATCATTTTAAAGAACATACATAGTTTTAGAAAAGCATTTTGTTTATTGTGCCAGTGATATGAACGAATTCAAGATTTTAATAATAACAGATAACATTATTTTTAAATGACTCAGCTATGCTGGCGAGAAAGACAAGGCGAGAAAGACAAGTTACATACACTCAGAGAAAAAACAGCTGCAATAGGGACGATAACACTCCTTTGAGGTGTTAAAATAACTGCTGCTAAATCATCCAGTATACGATGGTATATTTTATTTATATAATCACATAAGTATATTGCATATTACTGTAATAAAATAAGCTATTTAAGTTTTTACCTTTTTTAGAAACATTTTGATACTTCTCGATTTATACATTAAAAATTAAGATTCGGAAAAAATGTAAGAGATTTGAAATCTTCAATAATGGTTTTAATTCTGTATTTAAATGATGAAAGGATGCTCTCTGAACTTTAAAAACTTTCTTTTGTTAACTATAACCAAATACTTTTAATAATTAACAAATATAATATTACTCCAATTTAATAAACAAATCGCAATACCTGTGTTCATGCAGATTATTTTCATCACAAGAAAATCCTCTCAAGTTTGAATTACGTTCACTTTAGGGTAGAATCTAACATGAACATATTTATATTTTAAACAAATAAAAATGTGGCAAAACATACCTGCTCAAATGACTTAAGTCCTGACATTTCTCCATATTGTCGCATATCTTCTAAAATCATCTTTTTTACTTCCTAGAACAAATATAAATATGTTTGTTAAGGAACTAAGCAATGATATTTTACCAACCGAGAGAACAGCAGTGGTTAATTATGAACTTCTAAACCATTAAAAAGAATCAAAAACGTTCATTTGATAGATATTCCACTTGTGTAAATTACAATGCAGTTCCGAAAACGTTCTTAAAACTTCATTTGTCACAGAAATTTTAGATCAGTCCTTGGATTTTAGTCTCATAACTCTATTCTTGTCTGAAAGCTTAATATTCTTTTTCAGTTTCATTGAAAATATGATTATTTTTCTCGCTTTACAAAAACGTTTCATAAAGTTTACGCTTACGCGTTAAACTGACATTTGAAATATGCAGGATTAGATATGACAAAATGCTGTACAGTTTCAAATCCGTCGTATTTTTTAAAGGTGTCCCGTCATAAAGCTGATCTGTAATTTTTAACCTTAATGACGTGGCTTCGTCATGAATATGGGCACTTTTCTGCAATGTCGATCATGATTCCAAAACACAGAATCAAAATGATATTTCAGCATACAAATTTAGATACATTTATCCTGGACCGCTATTATGAACGCCTTTGTCCTTTTGAGCAGTAACAGATTAATATAAAAATTTCGGCTCCATAATATCTAGCCTATTTGCATTTTTATATTCCTCGAAAGCTTACCTATTAGAAATTGTTTAATAATTTGACAAATGCCTTACCGATAAAATAAAATCATTAATTTTATTGTTAATTTTATATTAATTCCTTTTCTTGTGCAATATTTGTTGTTTTTTTATAAAAGCATAAGCTAGAGAAAAGAAAATATACTTCTAAATTATTTTACAAGAAGTTCGTATAAAAAGTTTGAAGAATAAGTAAATAAATTCGAAGAAGTTAAAAGTTTTTCCTAAGTTCCTCATGAGCATTCTCTAAGACTGCTCACGATTTAGTGGACACTGCCCTATCTTGATCATTATTTTTAATACCACAGAATTATTTAACTTCTACGATTTTATTTATTTGTACTTCAAATTTTCAAAAACATCTTCGAAAATATTTTAGAAAATATTTACTCTTAGCGCACTTCGAATATATTTTTACTAAAAACTACAACTTTTGCGATCACAGAATTAAAAAAATTTAATTACTTCGATAATAAGCAATACAACTTTTCCTTTCGTTGAAGTGAAATTATCTAAACCATCACTTGAACGGAAATTTTTAACCGCTTAACAATTAGAGGTCCATTTCGGTTTTATAATCTAGGTAATTCGACATTTTTTTTACTTTTACTAATTATTCATTTTTATTGTACCATATTTAATATTGCATTAAAAGTTTTTTTCTATTTTTTTTATTATTGTTTATCAGTTAAAAATTGTAGTTTATCTAATTTCATTTGTTACCACTTGTTAGACTTAACGACAGCATTTTGCCGCTAGGCATATCGAATTAATATTTTTTCTTTTCAAAACTATGCTGTTCTAATATTACACATTTTAAGAATTAATTCTATTTATTTTTATTTTATATTTTATGGATCAAATTTTTCTTTGCTGTTATTTTTATCATATGTTATATTGCTCACATTTTGTTTTCTGGACCTGCTAAGCTTAAATAGAAAATTATTCTTATTAGATTTTTAAGCTTTTCTGCCTGTTTATGATTTCGATGCCATAATTTTGAAAAAAACATTTTTACACCGGCCTCTCTTTCAAACTCTTCATATGTTCATATGTTCATGCTTGTATTTACATATTTAGGTTTTTTTTTTTTTTTTTTTTTGGATTGTTCTGCTCAGAATAATATTTTTTTTAAATTTTCAAGCTTTTTAAACTTATTTATAATTTTGCAAGTTTTTGCACTACTTCTTACGGCCTGTAAGAAGCTGTAATGATTAAAAATGAGGCTGAGGGCTGTACTGATAAAAAATATGACAGCTTATTTTAATTAATCTTCTGAGATTATCTTAAGTAATAAACTTCAACTTCTGTTTTTGTCTGTTCAAAAAATAGTCTAATGTATTTACTTCTTTCATAGCACCAACTCTCTAATGACGATGGAGCGAAAGAAGTGAATTTCTGCTTTCTTTTCATGTTTGGTTTTGGAATTTATTGCGTCTTTCATACATTGCCACTATGATTCTCGTTTTTTTTTTTTTTTTTTTTTTTTTTTTTTTTTCATTTTGTTTTCCCAAATTGAATATGGGATGAATTTTAAATGCATTATTTGAATCTATATTTATTTATTTTGCGTTATTAATTATTACCATAACTTAATGCTCTTTCAGCACGCAATAGGATTAGGTTTTGTACTACTTTTTTTACTTTGTATTTAATCATATATATATATTATTTTAAAATTACATTATCATAAAATATTACATTTAGAAATTTCCATGTAATTCTTAAAGTATGTAAAACTTTCACTTTAAGAATAAATCTATTCCAAAAACACATTTTCCTTTATTAGAACTTTAAATTTAATTCCTTTCAAATTTTATTAAATATTCAAAGATTTCAATAATACAAAGATAGAGAAATAATCTTGAAAAAGAGTAAAAAATCGATATGAAAGAAAGTTTTTATTTAAATGTAACTTTAACATGAAACGAAATGTTCAGAACATTTCATAGTTGTTCTTGATTACATAGATTTTCAAGAATAAATTTCGACAAAATATATTTGACAACTGCCATACTTAAAAAATTTTTTTCTCGTAAAATATTTTTCCGTCGAGGATGTAGAGAAAGCTATTTTCAATATATTTCTTTAGTCTTCCATAAACAGTTATCTCACAAAACTGTAGTACATTTATCTTTATTTTAGTTACACATCAATCGTTTTCCTCCACCCTGGTATAATTTCATTATAAACCTGAATCTAGGTTAAAAAAATGGACTAAAGTCAAAACTTAGAGATAGAAAATTCGGGTCTTCGAATCCACAAATTATGAAAAGATTCGAGATTCGAAAGTTCTAAGCTTTGCTCTTTTATTTATTTATTTATATAAATCTTGCGAACCTTAGCCTAAACACATTTTAAAGTAGTAACTCAAACCTTTGGAAAGCTCAGTCTAATATCTAACAAAAGAGTACACTAAAATAAGAATGCGATTGTTGCAGTTTTAGTCACTTATATCAACATGTCATGGTGGCCCAAAGCGCCAAATTTTCTACTGTCTTAAAGTAAACTGATGTCATGTGACTTCAGGTAAATTTCAGGTAATGCTTCAAAGCTTTCAAAGCACATACTGATTTCTAGCAAAACTTAGCTTTGTTTAACGTAAATTATCTCTCATATCATTCAATAATTTAATCGCTTCAGTAATTTAATTATGACCGCAGTTTTATTTTTATTAAATAAAAAAATGTGAAATATGGAAGATTAATGGAAGTAAAGATAATATCATATAAGTATACACTAAACTATCCCCATCAAAGCAAATAATGTAACACCACATCATGGATACCTTATTTTTGCAAAGAGCACTCCAGATGCCATACATGGATTTGGATTCACACCAAGATAAGACTTCTTCTTTTTCCGGAACAACTATTGCCACTACGTAATTCTGAAAAAGAAATAAACCATAATGATTATTAAGAAATATTAAGAAATTTGCTAATAAGAATATAATCCATTAAGTAAAGCACTCGTTTCAAACCCTTCTTATTGCATTTCCACACTTCTTTCTTCTAGTGACATATCAGAAAGTTATTGCCCCCCAAAGCCATTTTCATTCAAACTATGGGTTTAAAATTATTTTTAAAATTGAAACTGCAATATTTTATTTTAATACAATATAAAGGTACAAGGATTAATAATTTAGTAAAAAAATATTTATTTATTTATTTATTCATATGAGTCAACTCTTAGCCAAAATTCCTAGTCTGCAAAACTTTTGTTTGTTTGTTTCGTTTTTGAAAAAAAATGCGTTTAAACATATATAAGAGCTTGGTTATGTGAAAACTCAAATCATGACTTCTACAGAATAATTCCCATGCATTCACCTCATGAATATGAATCGTTTTCATATAACACAGTACAAAACATTGGTAAAGTGATATTAAAAAACTAGCAATTGTGAAAACAAAGTTTCTCAAGGACATACTTCTAAGTTTGTAGGGCTATTATTATTTTAATTAAGAAGTTATTTTATGATTTTCATCTTTACTGTTACTTCTCCTTTTCCGTTTCCCTACTAGAATACAAATTAATTCGAGAGTATTTAAGCTGAGGTTTTCGGTTTGTAAGAAACGCGTTGTCAAGGATGCTGAGTGCAACAACAAATAAATGTAGAGGCTTGGCTAGGTTTTTGTATATAATGAATTACACACATGAAGTTGATTGATTTTAAATAACAAAATCCTTTAATTACAACAATTACAACTACTCATTAAATTAACATTGATGATATTTGCATTGGAGGAAAAATTCTATCGAGCGCGGCGGTGACGGAGCTTGAAGGGCTTATAAGCGCGTCGCGAAAATCTCCGTTATAGTTACAGCTAGAGATTCCAGCATGCGGTTGGCGAGTAACAAAAACAAGTTCCTTTAGTATCGCCAGAGTACTTCCCCTCCAAAGTCAACGAAATTAAAGGTACCCAGGGTTAAATCGGACCCTACGTCCAGAACGTGTATGCTGAGGAGCACTTTGCTTCTGGAATCCAGGGACAGGTGATGATGTAGTGGCAACTGGAGGTATAGACACATAGGGTGAAGATGTAGGTGCCTTCGAAGGGGATATGACTGAAGTATTAAGGGGTTATGACATCTAGTGACGGCCCCTGCCAGACGGGACTTTTTGGAGAAAAATAGATTCTGGTAGCACTGGTTTAAACGGGAGGATTCCTAGGAAAAGCAGCTCCGCTGGAAGCGAAGTCCTTCCTAGCTACGGAAATGGATGTACCGGCTACGCGGGATTTTTTGTTCGCTAAAAATGTTTCGGCTGCAGTTCTGTCCCGGGTTTAAACCGCAGAGCTGGCTTCCGCTCCGGATATATCTGGGTGGCACTCAATTCCGTATGGATACCCATACGACCCATACGGAATTGAGTGCCAGCCCAGCATAAAGACCAACCAATCAGACGAAAGGATCATTAAATCTGCTTCTGAAGGATCATTAAATTAACACTGATGACATTTGCATCGGAGGAAAAATCCGACTCAGCGCGGCAGCGGCGAAGCATAAAGTGTTTGTCAGCACGTCCCGAAAATCTTCATTACATGTAGAGATTCGGGCACGCGGTTGGCGAGTAACAAAAGCAAATTCCTTTGTTAGTATCGCCACAGCGTGTTTCAGTCTCTCGAAGCCACGTTGCTAGGTTTCTCTAGCTTTGATAAGATTGTAATTCTTCAGCGGTGCATTATATCTGCCAACATTTAAATTATTACTCTGGCGAGACGTTTTTGAGGCAACTTCGTCTTAAATCAATTGTACATTGCTAGGCTTAGTTTAAATTTGAATTTGATTGTTACTTCAAGTTGTATCTCTACAATTGATTGTTGATTTGTAAACACGAGAAGTGCGTTTATTTTCAAGTTAGTTCTGATTTGGCAAAAAGGTTTTTTTTCAATACTTCTTAAGACTTTTCAGTTCTTTTCTCGTTTCATCGTTCTACTTATCCATTATAAGACATTACTGCACCCAAAACTGTTACTTTGACTATTGCTGCTTGTTCGAAAGAAAGACCATGCATTAAGAACTTAGCATAAATAGTATCGTATATAATATAAAAAATATAATTTATATTCATTGAATAATGAACTACAGGTTGTAAACGATTACCTGCAAACTATCACCATGAAGGTAAATCTGAGCTACGTATGGACTTCTTAAGTATATACTCTCTATTTTTTCAGGAGCTACGTATTCACCTTGGGCAAGTTTGAAGATATTTTTCTTTCGGTCCACAATCTTTAGAGCTCCATTCTGCAGAAAAATATAACAATGAAGAGTGTACATAAAGAGAAGATAAATTAGAAAACATTATGCGTTATTTTAAGAGGTCTTATGAATATTTATGCTCTATATACGTTGAGAGACAAAACAAAGTTTTTAAAACTATTAATGCATATCACTTTCTCTACACTTTTGAAATAGTCTATCCTAGACATTTTGAGGAAAGTGCTCTAAAATGTTTCCCGTAATTCATTCGAGAGGTTATTGATATTTAAAGAAAAAAAAAACAGAAAAATGCTGCAAGTAATAATTATAGTTTTTTTCCCTTGGAAGTGTACATTAATATACTTTTATGTAAAATAATAGCTTGTATTTTGCATTTTGTATTTTACAAATATATTAATAATTATTTCTTTTATAATTTGTTTTGTGTTCAAATTTTATTTGGTGCATAATTATTATTCTTTTATTTGTATATTTATGTTATGTTTTCCAACTGCAGTTTTAACCAAATAAGTTTTGGAATTACATTAATAGCTTTAAACGTGCATAAATTCAGTAATTGCTGTTGTTGACATTTGGGGCATATTGCCACATTTGACAATAATTTTGGAATAGTTCAGAAACACTGGTTTGTGTAAGCATTCTGAAGAGTTTTGTCATGAAATTCCATTAATCTTATTATTCAGCTATCACCCGCAGCAAACCTGAAACGGCGTAGAGAAGAGATACTCAACTGAGCTCACATGAAGCAATAAGCATTTTATTGTCTTTTTATGTTTCAAATTCCTATTTCCATGATCCATACGCCACAAAATCGGGAGTTTTGTGGTCTTAATAGATATATGGAACTAGCTTTTATTGGCAAGCGTAAGACTAGATTTTGCAGCAAGCATGTACAACGTTCGAGTATCCTGGAGTCAGTTTACTTCTCAATTGGAGTAAGTTAAGAGTCAAATACTGATAGCAATTCTAAGTTTAGCTCTGTAAATAAGTTTACAATTTTTAAACGCCTTTCTAGACTTTGAACCTTTAGTAGAGAAGTCATGGACGTTTTAGTAAAAACTACGATATGAAACTACGTAGTGTAGAGTACTTACGCGAACTATGTTTTCATAAACGTTAGTCCATAGCCTTCTGGTTACAGGTACTTACTTTAAAAGTGTTTTAAATGAAATAAATATTCATGCTTTGCTATTTCTAAAAACAAAAGCAATCAGTTTTCTAGAGTAATATTTTATAGGTTATATCTAACCTAATATTTTATATGTTTCCCAGGTCCTTATGATTATATCTAGTAAAACTACATACCCTAAAAACAATCTAGGCTTTTGACACTTGTACTACAAAAGATTGACTGAGATATTTAGTTTTGAATTTTAAGATCATGTTTTCTGAAATTAAGAAGCCGTCTGCTAATTGAAGAAATGAATATTTAAATTTGTATGTAATTAAAAATGAAATATCAATTAGGAGTCGGATGTTAGCGGATAATGCGATAAGTAATGATATGAAAGCTTCGACATTTTTTTTTTCAAAAGGAAGATCTTATTTTCAGAATCATACAGAATTTCTATTCCAGAAGACAGTGGCATGTTTCAAGTGTTATAAAGATAGACACCTCGTAATTTTATTTACATAAATTAAAAATGAAATTTTTTCTAGCCACATGAATGGTTTTGTATGAGTACTAGATTGTGATTCTAAAGTACAAAACCTGTAAGAATTAATAACCTATATTATTAATCTTTTCCGTGTAAAACGCTGAAATGTTTATAAGTCACTTCTATGAAAGTACATTTGATACAACAAATATAACAAAATAAAAAAACATTGCACTCTGTTAAATCACCAATAATCCATTTCTTATAAAAAAAGCTATAAATATTTGTTTTACTGGCACTTAAAATTCTGTAAAAATTCCCAACCTTTTAAATTCAGTATTTTGCTCTATTTTCATCCTATGGGAGTCCAATGTTTTACTTTCGGGATAAAAAATAAACTTTTACTAAATACAAATATAGGGATTGGGAGACTGTATAAAAAGAGATTTCGTAATTTTTCACGAAATGTATTTTTTAAATACCAAAGCAGAAATATTTGTGTTATCTAAAACATTATTTGAAGATGAAGAGTGGGTCTATGAACAAGGGTTGTGAAAATAAAGAATTGAGATGATATCTATCTATCTATCTATCTATCTTTCTATCTATCTTTGTATCTCTCTCTCTCTCTCTCTCTCTATAGATATATATATATATATATATATATATATATGTATATATATATATATATACATGAATGACACGAGATACATATATATGTTCTCATTTTACTAGTCAGTTATTTTACTAGGTATTTATTAGACGTGTAGGTACTTCTAGTGCTGTATTTCTTATTTTCGTTATTTTTATTAATTTTTTTCGTTTTGAATCTTCGGTACAAAATCAAATCATACTTTTTCTTAATAATTCGTTTTCTATTCAGAAAGTTGGAAATGAAACGCTTAACATGCAATTATAGCATTACAAAATTATTTTTGAAGTTTATGAGACATCCTGACCTAAAACTTTGGATAGCGCGTCTTAAAACACTTTTTTCGTGTATAATCATTCTACTTAGTGAAATATCAATTAATATTTTGTTACTTTCTCGAAGTTATCTAATTTATAAGCATGATTATACAAATATTATTTTCATTTAATATAATAAAGGAAAATATAATGCAATATAAATACTTCACACTCATGAAAAGCGTTACCTGAAAAATGAGAGCATTACCTGGAGCCATACTCCTATATCTCCAGTGTGCAACCATCCGTCACTGTCAAGAGCTGCTGCAGTTTGTTCCGGATCTTTCAAATATCCTTTGAATACGCTGACACCTCGGACACAAACCTTTCAGATGGAAAGAAATATGTGCAAGCTAAGTCGTAGCTATGAGTCTTAAAAATAAATTCCATTTATCGATCAATGACAAGATCTCTCTCGCTCGCTCTCAGTATCTATATGGGTTGCTGACAGAAATGTTTACAGTTACGGTTAAAGAGAAATTATAATAAAAATGACCAGTTTATATATGAAGCTATAATAGCTTTCATGAATTCGAATGAAAATGGTAGCCAAATTACTATACACAAATAAATTGAAACTCATCATTAGTTCATCATTAATATTGTATAGGGACTTACAGACAGTTTACGGTGTGGCCAATTAAAGAATTTTCATCTTGTGTGTTGTTAAGTCTTATTGGTTAAGATATCAATTTGATAACATGATGACCCCGATTCCATTCTCAATCAGTTCACTTTCCGCCCCAATCACAAGTTGTTTAACATTCCTATAGTAACGGCCGAAGTAAAAACCGTTGGCTATGATTCATAACTAGATGTGACTGCTTGAGTAAGAACCGTCCTTTCCAGGGGTTCTCAAACTTTTAACTAACATGTACCATCTAAACAAATTTAAAAACCTTTACTACCACCACCACTGTTGAACAAAAGCTCAGATCGCATAAATTTACGAGTGTTAGAGAAAAACCTCAATTGGGATGTTGGGGTTCAATTTTTGAATTTAATAGACAAAAATACTTTGCTTCTTCACGTACCACCTATTTTTCTCTTGCGTATCACCGGTTGAGAACCCCTGGTCTATTCTATTAGTCATCCTCATCAGTCCAATAATTTTAAGGCCAGAGTTCGGCCTGGTGTAAATACTTTTTACGAATAATAGTTACTATTTTTCATTATGAGTACTATTTAATATTTCAGAAATACTTGCCAACAGCAAGATCGCTAGTTTAAAATTTAGTATGCAAAATATCGTATCATTAAGCTAAATTTTGACTTAATTAAATTATTTACCTCTCCTTGGCTCTTGCTTGAATAATATCCCATTTGTGGAACATCAACTAACTTTATTTGACAGCAGGGAACAGGTGGACCGACGTTGGCTGAAGTTGAAAAGTTGTTATTTAGCGAAATGTTGTCTTTAAAATATAACATAAATAAGCATGGTAATTAGCTTTCAGTTGAATGGATAAAAATATTCAGAATGAAATACATTTCCCATTTGGGCCGTTATTCTATTAGAATGTCTAGTGATTTGTTAATCATATGTAAATGAAAGGCACTTTGAAATACAGCAAAATATAAATTTATCAACTTAGATTTATAGATTTTTATTGCTGCTAATTCTCCAATGCTGGTATCAGTTAAGATGCATATTCCTGCTTTTCAAATGAATGTACAATCACTTCCGTACAAGCAGAAATTCGGTAGTAGCCAATCCAAAGGAGATTGAAATTTCAGAATTTCGAACTCACGAATTCAAATAATTAATATCTAGTGAACACTTGCTTCCACCCTAATATTCGCCAATAATGAGCGAGATTTAAAAATACAGGCAAATTAATAAGATAGTCCTATTAATTAATATAAATGCCTTATAAATTGCAGACACAAAGAAATACTACAGTTTTTTATGAATATTTATTACCCTGTAACTCGGATAATAAATCAGTAGAATGCTTAAATATACCTATTCAGATGCAAATGTAAATTTAACATAATTGCAAAGAAGTACATAAATCGGGCTTAGGTAAATAAAACTTCAACTTCGCACTAACTAAATCAGTTCTGTAGAATCAGTACGTGTTTGGTAATAGTAAGACATTTAACTGAGCATTATTAATATCGTATATTATTGTCGTATCCTTGCGAAATAATTTAAAGATTTTGATATAATTATGCCTTTTATGTTTTAGACAATTAAATAATATATCAAGCATTAGGGGTTTTATTTTTTATAAGAAAAAGACTACTTACTGCCAGAAAAATCGCCAAGAATATTCAAACAGATGGGACCACAAGCTTCTGTTTGTCCGTAACCTTCAAATACCTAAATTGTTAAAAGAATATTGAAAATCATTATCAAGCATTAGACGTATATTTATTTTAATTTAGCTGACAATGAACGGAAACACCTGGTCTTTACCAATGGTTAACAGGTATTGTCTCACATCTATCATTAACAACATTTATTTTCATTTTAAATAATAAACCAAATTATTTTCACTTAAATAGAAACATAAAATCAAAATTAAATGCGTTGCATTAAAAATAAAACTCTTAAAGTTCACAGTTCCTAGAGCCAATAGCGTTCATAAGAAAATTAGCTAATACAGGAAAATATCAAAGTAACGCAGCCGGCGCTAATAATTTTAATAAAGATTGCAGACGCATGTATTATAGATATATCATAAGCATACACACTGCTTAATTTGTAAATTAGGGCATAGGAAAAAAAATCTCCAAAACACAAATGCACACATATTCACTGATGTGCAAAAATTACGGATAAAGTGGAGAAATCAACATAATAGTGGAGTAAACAAGTAGATCTGATTTAAACACCAGTGAGAAATTCGCCTAAGGTGTTGCAGGTATAATCCCGTGAACGAAATGCACAAGCAGGTACTGTTTCTAGAAGTTCGGGTCGGAAGATCTGAGCTTTTGCGATGAGACCCTCAGTGAGTGATTTAAGGTGATGAATGATGAAGCCATAGAAGTAAAGTAAGATAGTAACAAAAAGTAAGGGAAATACCAGACTTTCATAATAAATCACCAGGTATTGTTTCCACTTAGCCTTTTTTTTTTCGGTTTAAAACTATGTTATTTCACGTCACAGAAACACCTGAGCAATCTTCAGCAGTCCATAATTCACATTCCAGGCAACAAAATATTAATATTTAGTACACTGAAGGAATCAAATAGGAGGACAGTAGCAAACCTGTTGTGAACTTAATAAAACGTGCGATGAGCTACAGGTTTCTGAATTAACAGTCAGACTTCATCTGAGAATTGGTTACCACCACATAAACCTTTCCCTTACAACTCGATCACTTCTGCACCCACGCCAGCCGTTCTGAGTCTGATAGGTTAGCTGCCAAGAGCTAATATCACCAGGACGTACTGTCATTGAGAACCTGTACTCACAGCATTTGCAACAGGTGCAATATGTATTTCAGCAAAAGGTGCTACCGCTAGTTACTAGTAATGGTGCTCTGTACCTTCACGCCAATGGAAGACCACATGTAGCAAAAATGACTAGGAATATCATTCAGCAACTTGGCCGTGAGATACTGGGTTCGCCAGAACTAAAGCTTATGAAATATTTTCTATTCTTTTTCCTGAACAACTACCTGAACTTATGAAATATTTTCTATTCTTTTTCCTGAACAACTACCTCCGTGACAAATCCTTCAGTAAAAGGGCAGGCTTGCGCTACGCACTCACGGACTGCTTTAAGTCCAAGATTAAGGACCCTATAGCCAACGCAGTGCACAGCTTAACTAAAGTTGACAAATAACTCTCGGCGCTGAAGATTACTTCGAAACCTATTACTACCATTAACGGCAAAAACATTTTTGGTTATCTTGGGAACACATATGCAGTATGAATTACTGTGGGAGTATATGAAGAGTACAAATCCTAAATCATACATGTACAAAGACGATGCACATTTAGCATTTCCGAGAACCTATTGCACAATATACAACGGCTTGAAAAACAGTGACTTGCTGTTGTAGTGAGATATATCCAATAAACACTCCTTTAGACGGCATATACGGTTTTACCCGAAGTTAGACATTGAGGTGTTTGAAGCTGGAAGAGAACGATGAGAAAATAATGTGATTTAGGCGGTCGGAATTGGACACAACATAGCTTTCATGGGCTTGAACAGATTTTTAAAGAACACACAAGAATAACTTTCGAAAGGTTTAGTAATGATAATCGAAGAGCAATAATGAGAATGGAGGACAGACATATGTTATAACTACAGGTGCGAAGAGACTAATGGCAAACAAGGGTGAGTTCACAAGCCACATACATTTACTGGATGTCCGATACCCGCTATTTATCGTGGCCTGAAGACATCCTAGATGGGTGGCTTGTTTGCCTGTCGACCAATAAGGGTATGTTGTTGACGCCTACCTATCGCAGATGACATTTCCTTCTGTGCCAGTATGCAAGAAATGGAAATCTAAAGCTTTTATTTCGAAGATCGCAAAATTTATTTTCAAATCTTTTATTCGGGAAATCACGAAACGAAATCTCAATTATATGTACTTTATTATCTGGCGAGAGGAGTTAGTTTATTTGATTTAGGCAAAGTACCAGGCGGTTATCTTACCAAAGAGAGAAATGTTTTCGGAGACGGGTCGTTTCAAGAGTAACTGACTTTTATTCATGTTTTACAAAAGGAAAACTGTGAAAGCTCTCACACAGCCAACTAGTTCGCCACGATTTAAACCATGATAGAACTGTACTAGTGTTCCAAGTTAATAAATTTCGTAATTGGTCGATTTTCTCCAAAACTGATAGAGATATTTTAATGAAATTTGCTGTGGGCATAGGCTAGTATAATACCAAAAATATGTATCACACAACAGTTATGTACACGCGCATGATATTGACAGCGCGGGAAGGTTTAAAACTCAGGTTCCGAGATTAAACAAAACAAGGCTAAAATAATGTATGATTCTCTCGCAAAATTCTTATAATAGGACTTCATATTGGAAAGGAGTCAATCGGTCCCTCTGGCAATCGGTTCCACTTCTGCAGCAAAGTAGTTTCCAAGTCCTAGAGAATTCTCGATTGGAGTCTTAATAGTCCTCTCAAAACCCAGACATGTTCTATAGGATGTTGGTCTAGGGGGCTGGCTGAGCTATTCGTCCGGTTAATATCCTCACTTACCAGAAAATCATCCATCAGATTAGCCCTATATGGATTTCTTATCCATAAAATGAACTAAGAGCCAACTGAACTCCTGAAAAGGCTGTAAAGTATCCTTTCCTATACCAGGCATCAGTAACAAAGACCTCAAACCTCCGCTTCAGCACTGACCCTTTTTTCGGATGTTGGCCCCTGAGGTTCTCTTTAAATGAAACTGTACCAAGGCTCAATGGTTAAACTGAATCGGGAATCACCTATGAAAACAAATGTTCCTCCATGATACTTTTTTCAAAGTCGATGTGCTTTCCATCATGCTAAACGAACGTTCTTATTCGCAAACGTGAGCGGTACGAAAGCAACGTGTCTTCTTGCAAATAGTTCTTAGAGATCTATATTTAATTTTCAGGGATGTGGTTGACGCTCAGTTCATTTTTGTGGACGGCAAAGCTCATCCATCTAAGCCTAATGTGCTAGAGGATTTTGTGGAAAGTAAGCATATTAACTGAATGGATTGGATAGAAAGATCTTCAGATCTAAATCTCTTTGAACATGGTTGAACGCTTTTGAAACAGCAACTGCTACTCTTCTTCTCTCCTCTCAGAACTCTCCAGCATCCGAAAACAGAGTTGTTGCAAATGTGGGACTGATTCCACAAAGTCTCACTAATTGCTTCATTTCTGATATTTAAATCAAATTGTGAAATGACTATCATAGCAGATCGCACTATTTATTAGCATCCTTTTTTGTTCGATATTATAACTCTTGTGTTAGATCTTCCCGTGCCAATGAGCCTTAAAACAAAACATGCGCGTGCATCTTGACTGTTGAAGGTATAATTTAATGTGCATACTAAATTTCATCGCAATCTGTCAGTCAGTTTTGGAGATATCGATTAAAACTGAAACTTCCCTTAATTTTGAACGATGCGCCAGTAATTATTGCTTTCACCAATCGACCACTGGTAGACTTACATATACTTTATATCCTTTAAAAATAAAACATTTTTTCAATGTAGCGCGCTTCTTATTTATTGGCGTAAAGGCAAAACATCACTTAAGCCTATTTGAGAGCTGTTGCAATATTAAATGCGTTGAGATTAAGAACTGTCACAATATCATTTAAAATATGCAAAAATAGCAATGACAGCGATAATTCCAATATTCGTATGTAATTTGTTTCATTCATAGAGAATAGCAGTTATTTCTCATACTTTACCTACTTCTGAAAAAAACGTTTTTGAGTTCTAAGAAAGAATGTGATGATAAATAAAACATTCTAAACACCGGAAGGCTGTTTGCTTTCTACTTTTATTTTTTGTCTACTCATTTATTTATTTACTAGACATATTTATTTGACCAGTTTTCTTCCTGCATTTACTAATTTTGCCCCATAAAAATAATGAGGGAAAAACTACGCGCTATACTTTTTCTGAGGGAAGTCTTGAGAAGAAAACTTAACAGATTAAATTAAAAAATGGACATAAATAAATGCATTTTGCTTCCAAAAATACAGTAACTGTTTCGTATACTATTTGTTTTACTTACAGATCATAGTTTGTCGTTTAATTATCCTTCTGCGCTGTCAAAAGTCTACTACAGATCAAGAGTTTTCTAATCGTGATGAAAATGCTTGGACATAATTTCACGAGGGAAAGAAATATACGCTTTTTACCTAAGTGCCTTATATCATACGTTATTCATGCTGATTGCTGTCTGAAATAAATACTTTAACTATACTCAAAACTCGGTATTTAATGAAGTTCGGAAACGATTATATTCCGTATAATGCGTTAAAAATAGCAGAAGATGTTCGTTTTAATATAAGGTGTAGAAAGCATCAAGGGATCGTCTGAAAAAAAATTATAAAGAGGGTATTAAATTTCGCCACCTTGATTTGCATAATGATAAGCAACGCTGGCTATCGTATCCCTCGGAACGGGTACGAATCCGGAGAAGGCTTGGTGTTTCTAAGTATAGAGTGTTTGTGCGGCATGACGATAGTTTAAGTACTAACAAACCAAAAGCTCTTTCGAGGAAGAGAAAGAGGGATTGGGGATCCTTAGATCTGTACATCTGAGTGTTCTCTATCATACATGGGACAGAACTTCCCTGTTCTCTCAGGTACAAAATCGCTGGCCGCCTGTGGTGCAGCTTGACCGCATTC